GCCTAAGGTTTTAGTGAAATAATTTGAGAGAGCACTGAATTATACACGTGCTTTTCTCTAGGGCACCAAGGGAAAGTAGATTGAACTATAAGATGCGCCTGACTGCACATCAGAACCATTCAGAGTCTTCTAACCCAAGCCCTCAGTCCCTGCTCAGGTTTCTGCCAAATATTTCAGGACAAAGCCATGCTCCAGCGTATCCCAGCATGCCACAGCATTTACAAACTGCAAACCACTAGATTCCATGCACTAGCCCATAATAAGGTCCCCTAGCATGGTGCAGAAGTATCCCAAGACAGAGTGGAGGCAGCAAAGAAGGAAGGCAAGAAACTCAGCAGAAAGCAGAGAGGTTAAAAAAAAAAAGTGGAGGATAGAACTTTCTGAGAAATGGCAGAGTAGTGAGGGACAACAACTCAGTTTCTCTGAGATTCAGAATCCAGACACTGGAAAGTAACAATTGGGGGAAAGAAAAGGGTTGGGGGGAGACAGGGAGACAGACAGAGACAGAGAGACAAGAGAGAGACAGATATAGGAATAAGAAAGGATCTGACAGGAAAATTAAACCCCACAGAGAAACTGAAGAAAAAAAAAACATGGAGAAGAGAAAGGACAGTCTTCACTTTCTCCATAGTGGTGCAGTACCTGGCAAACTTGAGGCCCTGAGTTGGGGGGGGAGGGCAGTATGAGGAGAGAAAAAGAATCAAACAAAAAATTCTGGAAAGACGAAAGAAACAATAAAAAATGCTGGAAAGACGAAAGAATCAAAAAATGCTGGAAAGACTTAGGGGGAAATGAACCCTTCTTCATTGTTGATGAGAGTGTGAACTGGTACAACCATTAGGGAAATAAGCATAGAGATTCCTCCAAAAAGTAAAATTAAAAATTCCATTTGACTCAGCTGTTTCCCTTCCAAGTATTTTCCCAAAAGAATTAAAGCCATCATATTACAGATACACCCCTATCCATATTTATAGCAGCACAATTCATAACAGCAAAATCTTGGAAGCAGCCTACATGTCCATCAACAGATGAATGGAGAAAGAAAATGTGGTATTTACATATTATGGAATACTACTCTGCCATAAAGAAAGATAAACGAGTTATTTGTAGGAAAATGGATGCACCTTGAGACCATAATGTTAAGTTGAAGAAGTCAGACACGTAAGTTTAAATATCACATGGTTTCTCTTATTGAGAAACCCAATACAGTGGACCCTTGACTTACAAACTCAATTCTTGCACGAGGGCTGATTGATCAGTTGAAAGCTTAGGCTCCTCTACACAGCCTTCAAAGTCTCTCTCCTGTATACAGGCAGATCTCAGTGTCCTTAGAGAGACATTGGCCCAGGATTTCTCAACCCCACACAGGAAAGGGTGTTATAATGTTCCTTTCAGAGCTCTTTCAGGGTTAAATCTGTCTGAGACCATCTGGAAGCACAAGTGGCCAGCATTGGGGTCATAACTCAAGACTTTGGTCATAAGTTAAAACTAAAATTCCAATTGTAACCCAGGTTGTTCGTAACAGGTTGGTCATAACTCGAGGGTCCATTGTATATAAATAAAGTGCAAAATAAAAGAAAACAGAAAGAGAGAGAGAGAAAAGTTATTATAATCCAGTATGGTTGCTGTATCTAAAAGTACACCTTAATTTAGTATAATCATCTTAGTTATGTTTTCTAGCCTGGTATGTATGTATGTTAGTATATGTTAATGTATGCTTATGACAGTTGATAAAGACTTATGAAATAAATCTGATGCTGGCAAAAAATAATAGAATAAAAAAAGTGAAGAGACGAAGGTGGGAAGGGGCTTCGGAAGTGGGTGTTGGAAGAGGTCAGGGCAAACCCACAGTGCTGGTGAGTGCTGGGCCCAGGACCCAGGGCTTTGGCGCAGAAGTGGAGGTTCCTGTTGGCACCATGAGGGCTGAGTGGGCAAAGCTAAGCGCTGTCTCCTGAGATTGCAGAGGACTTTTCTTTTCTGTTCTTTTTTCTTTTCTTTTTTTTACAGTGATGGGGACTGAACTCAGGGAGAGAGCACTGAGCTACACCTCCAGCCCTTTTTACTTTATTTTGAGACAGAGCCTTGCTTAGTTCATCGGGCTGGGCGAAAACTTGCAATCCTCCTGCCTCACCCTCCCCAAGTAGCTGGGTCTGTCTTGCAGTTTTTCTTAAGGTCCATGATTATGTCAGTTAATCCCTGTCAGTTACGTTAATTATCCCGTGGTCTAGTGGGGAGGAGAGTGAATGGGAAGCTGGCATGGGGATGCAGATGGCAGGAACAGATCCAGCTGGGGAAGGCTGAGTGTTGCAGCTGTGATGTGCCCGGGGCGGCCCGGCTGCACGGTGGGAGGCAGTCAGGGTATGAACCCCACTTTACTCTGAGTGTACTGTGGGTGGGTGGCTCAGCCCAGCCCCAAGCTCCAGACAGAGTGACACCCGGAGCCCCGGAGTGACCGACCTCCTTGTGACCTGGGGGAGAAGACATTGGGCAGACTGCTGTAGAGGGTTTCAGCAGATCCGATGACCTACTTTTCCTCTTCACATCACTTCCGCGTGCCCTCCCCAGCCAGCTCCTCTGCTGAGCAGAGTGGGAGAGGAAATTCGTGCAGGGACGGAGGGCAGAAAGGATTCTGGAGGCACCTGTAAACCAAAACAGAAGGCTACAGGGCCTGCAGGGCCAGGTGCGGCCACAGTAAGAGGGGACATTGTCTCCTGTGGACCTGGTACCCACAGCGCTCGTTTATGGGTACACTCTCGGCACTGTCCTCAGTCTCATACGCTGTAACTAGCGGGTCACAGGCAGTGACTCACTTCATGAGTTCAATAACGGCTCCACTGGGCCGGGGATTTAGCTCAGTGGTTTCGCCGCCTGCTGCGCAAGCGCAAGTACCCGAGTTGGATCCCCGGTACCAAAAACAAAACAAAACAAAAAAACGGCTCCACACCAAGTCTACATCAAATGTTAATGCAATTTCCCTGTGAATGTATGGTGACAAAAACAATGTGCTATATCGAGCATTTCAGAGAATAAGCCAGCAGGAATCATTTTACTGAACATTTTCTTAAGGCTTTGTTTTAATCAAATTCTGAAAAAGTTTACCTTGATGTTCAGTCTACCTATCACTTATCATCTAGGATTACATTTAATTGTAACAGAAAAATCTTGTAGCAAAAGTGGCTTAAACAAGACAAGATTTGATTAAAATGCTACTTTAAGAAAATCTTTGAACTGGGTGCAGCAGTGCATGGCTGTAATCCCAGATACCCTGGAGGTTGGGAGTGTAGCTCAGTGATAGAGTATCTTTGGATTCCATCCCCAGTAATGGAAAAAAAGTAAAGGAAACTCTTTGGGTACTTTAAATTCCTCATACACTCACTGCTGAATTTTTAAAAATCACTGTTGCAATTTAAACTGTATTTTCATATTATCTATAGATTTATAACTTGTGAATATGTGAAATATTTTAAAAGCAATTGAAACAACAAAAAGATAAAAAGACATTGATGTCTTTAGCAGCAGTAAAATAATTCTTATTTTCAATAAATATTGAGAAAATCTTCAAAAGCTGCAGAAAAGTATTTGCTTGTTCTAACAGCCTTACTGGTAAGCACTTATTTATTTTTTATTTTTTATTTATTTTATTTTTTTTTTGGTACCAGGGATCGAATTCGGGTCCTGTGCTTGCGCAGCAGGTGGAGAAACCACTGAGCTAAATCCCAGGCCTACTGGTAAGCATTTTATTGCTTGGAAAATAGACAGTTTGGCATAGTAAAGCTCACCTGTAATACTGGCACTCTAGGAGGCTGAGGCAGAAGGATCTGAAATTCAAGCCCAGCCTGGCTAACTTAGAGACTTAGCAAGATCCCATCCCAAAATAAAAAATAATTTTAAAAGGGTTGGGATGTACCTCGGTGCAAAGGCCTTGGATTCAATCCCCAATATGGGGTGGGGAGGGGGGGCCACAGTGCCCTGAACTAAGAATGACTAAACATCTCTCTTCAGCATTTCTTTGGTAGCCAAAAATAACCCTATCAGTTAGGTCCTAGAGCCTCCGTTTACAGACAAGAAAGATTGGACCTGGAAGAATCAATGACACACATAGTGTGAAGTGAGGTGGAGCCAGGTTGGAGCAGCACTGACTCAGAACTGCAGGTGTCAGCCTAAAGGGTAAGTTGAGGCACAATGAGTGTGAGAACAAAGAGTTCATCTGAGCCAAAATGCAGGTGGCCTCCTAGGGAGAAAACACAAATTCTAGTTGCCCAGAATAAGTGCTCCTGAAATGGCAGCAGAGGGTCAAGGTTTTTATAGATTGAAAAAAAGAAAGCCACAGCAAAGCTGTTGTTACAGGGAAATTGGTCAGTAAGAATGGCCCTGGATGTTGATTGGTTGATGCAAATGGCAATGGACATTGATTGGTCCATAAGTCTGGCACTGGATGTTGGTTGGTTGATGAGAATAGCACCAGCGGATAATTGGTCATAAGGTCATACATTCTAGGTAAGAATTGTGCTATGCCCAAAGAGGTTTTTACTGGGTTTTGGGATTTACTGGGTTATTTGTAATCTTTATGGCATCAGACAGTCTGCAGTAACATGACTTGCCCTAGGTAACTGCTCTCTCATGCTTCATGTCATCGCCCCTCCCAAAAGTTTGTGACTTCCTTCTTGTGACATTTTAAATCCTTTCTCACCAGAGAGTTAGTTAGTTAAGGGACTGGTCACACGGAAGCACCAGAATCCATCCTCATTTAGTGGGGCCCTCTCGGGCCATAGGCACATGGGGCTCCCCAGGGCTTCGGGTTGAAGGCAGGAACACACTCCCCAGGTCCAGTCTTTGCATCAGCATGGGGCCAACTGCACAGTATGGTTTAGAAAATAACTTGTTTAGGGTACAAAACAGTAATGAGTTTCTCAGGCCTGTGATCTCTGTCCTGGTCTATTTGTGCAGCTGTGACAAAATACCTTACAGTGGGTAATTTATAAATAATAGAAATTTATGTTGTCACAGTTCTAGGCGCCAGTAGGTTCAGTGTCTGATAAAGGCCTGACTTCTTCTTCCAAGATGGCCTTGAACGCTGTGTCCTTACATGTAGAAAGGACAGAAGGGCAAGGGGATGGACACTCTCTGAAGCCTCCTTAAAGGGCATCAGTCATCCTCGTCGTCTGCTAGAGGCCCCACCTCTTATTACTGGCATCACCATGAGGTGTCTGGATGAGCTTTGGAGGGACACAAGCACTGAAACCATAACAGCGTCTGGGAGGGGTCATCTTATCCCCCTGGGATGGCTGTGGTGCAAACTGTAAGATCTCACTTTCAGAAGCCCAGTCTTGGCCCAACAAGCAGAACAGCCAGAGCTGCCTGGCTCCCTCTTTTCTACCAGTCCGAACACACGTTGTGGATTTTCCAGCTCCTGGGGAGCACTGCTGTCTCAGGTCACAGTGGGGGCCACTGCCACATCGGAGTGGGGACAAGCCCTGGCTCTAGGGCCCAATCAGGAATGGATCCCCTGGGACTTAGTCTAGGACGGTGCCCTCCCCAGGAAGCCCATTGTCCTGGGACCCGGAGCAGTCAGAACAACACAGAAGGTGGAGGGTGCCCCAGAGTAGGAAGCCCCACCGAGACCACCTCAGACCTCGAAGAACGCCCAGATGTCTACACACCAGCTAGTCCTATCACTCTCCGCTGCAAAGTTCCATGGAAATCTAGAATAAATCCACACTCTTTCTCTGAAGTACCGTTCTTCCCTGTCCTCCAGCCTCAGCTTTCTCTTCCCTCCTCCCCTCCCAGCTCCCTCTCCATCGCTCACCTCCAGCTACACTGTCTCCCTTCACCTGGGTGGCAGAACTGCTCAGCCGGTTCCTGCCACAGAGCCCCTGCACTTCCCTTTTGTCCAAAATGCAACCCCTCAGGCCAGACCACACACAGATCCCTCTTGTCTTTCTGATTGCTCAGATTTCATCTTCCCAAGATGCCTTCTTCCCCCTTCCTAATGTCGCACCCTCCCCATGGCAACCACTCTTTATTCGGTTTTGGTATAGTCATAGCACCTGTCACTCTCTCAATTTTTAATTTCACTTTGTTGTCTGTCTCTCTCAAGTAGGATACAAACTGCATGAGGCCAGGGACTGTGTCTCACATTTAGTTCTGTATTTCTTGTCCCCAGCACTGTAGTACTTAGTGAATGAGTGAGTAACTAAAGCAAGGCCCCACATAGCCACATCCTTGCTCTTTTCAGACCTTTGACATGAAATTCCAGGCTCTTGTCTGCAAAGTCACAGCACCTACAGGACCTTCATCCTCTTTCCTCTCCCTGGACACACTGGGCAGAAATCCCTTCAGTGGAGCTGGAACCCTGGCGAGCCTCTGCCCCGTCTTCTGCCCTATCCCTACTCCTCAGGCTCCCGACAAGGGGCCACTGAAGGTGGCTTCGATGGGATCTAAGTCAGACACAGGAAGCTGATAGGAAGGACCTAAGCAGGATAGAAGACATAAAGATAGGTAGAAAGGGCCGGGGATTTAGCTCAGTGGTTCTGCCGCCTGCCTTGCAAGCGGAAGGACCCGAGTTCGATCCCTGGTACCAAAAAAACAAAACAAAACAAGATAGGTAGAAAGGAGACAAGGAAATTGCAATTTTAAAATTGTACTTTTACAAAACCACAGCTTCAAAACACCAAGTTCAAGGTTAAACGTCTTCTTCATTCTTAGACCTGTTTTGTTTTGCTTTTTTCCTTTCTTCCAGGCGTATCACTCTCAAGTGCTGAAGTATTAAGTATTACACTGGGCCTGGTTTTCCCAATACTGTAGGTTCACAGATTCCACAGGCATCCACACTGAAGGCAATAGCACTGTTAGTGGGTAGCATATCTCTAATCTCCAAGCACGTGCAGTTTGCATTTTAATCTACCTGCAATGGGCAGCTTGACAGACACTAGGAATTCACACCCCAGATGATCCATCATGACCATGCAAATATCCCTAGCTTCAGACCATAATGTGCTTCATCCCTGCACTCCTGAGTGTGTGCTTGTTTGATTCTGCTTAATAAATCTACCTGTGCCCCTCACAGACAGGTCCTGAAACACTTTTCTTGACAAGAGTCGAGGAACCTACTGGTTTTTTTTTTGTACCGGGGATCAAACTTGGGTCCTTGTGCTTAAAGAAGCAGGCAGCGGAAACACTGAGCTAAATCCCCAGCGAGGAACCTACTTTGAATGGGGATCAAGTTGAAGGCCCCCTCTAGTGGCAGGATGAGGCAGAAGGCCATGTGGGCTGTTGGTTCACTGGGGGCCAAGGCACTGTGCAGTAGGGACAAGGCGGTGGCATTGTCACAGGGGCCATCTGCACTTGTGGCTTTGAGGTGCAGCAGCCAGGGGTTCCAGTTCCACAAGGCAAGGCCACATCAGAGTTTGACCTTGTGGAGTGGAGGTCAGATTCCCAGTGAGAGGATGTCAGCAGCAGCAAGGCCAAAGCAGGACCCTGGTCATGTCCAGGACATCCAAGTCAGCCAGGAAGATGGAAGGACAGAGATTTGAAAGGACCCTGTGTGCACAGGGCAACTGAGTCATGGGGAGACTTCAGCACTGAGAATGAGGCAAGCGATACAGCACCTGCCATGGGGCTCACAAGAGTGGGCACTTCTTGGGAGGAGGTGGAGGTCGAGATGGGATCATTGTTATGTCCCCCACCACCCATTTTTGTAAAGGCAAGAAAACATTTTTATATTCTATAAAATGACCTACATGTTAGATATGTCCAGATGTATTTCTCCTAACCTGTGCACTTCCACTGGCCAGGGGAAGAAAGGGCAAACTGTGACTGGGGTGGGCAGATCTCTCTGGCCGTCAGTGTGGAAGTCTGGAATTTGTGAACCTACAGTATCAGATCCTGCTCAGGATCCTTCTGGGAACAGGCCAGAACCTCAGGGATTTTCTATTAGCCCAGGTTATCGGGCTGCTAGCCAACCCTAAATCTCAGGCTCAACATGATCAGACATTTGAGGGTGGCCTTCCATGGGGTGATTCGGTGACCCTGGCTACTTCCTACAGGACACTGTGCATCTGGTCAGGAGTGAGGGAAGAGAGAAATTGTAGAGAATTGGAGGGAGGTCTAGAGCTCAAGCCTGCAGGGGCACAGCCACTCTGTCCACGTGTCTCTGTGGTAGCCCTGTCCGACCCCACACTGGAGACCACCAGTTTTTGTCTGCTTGAAGGGAAGCCCACTTAAGGTAAGGACCTGTCTCAGGGTCCCAGAAAGACCAGAAGCTCCTCTGTGAGGGGAAATAGGGTAAGCAGATGTGGGCAGGAGGGTGCTGTAGAACTAGTTTATACTCATAAAAATCCCCATCCCAGAAACTTTTGGGTCTCCATAAAGGCATTAAGTAGGATGATAAAAAACCTATACTCAGGACCATAGAGGAGTATCCGTGACATCACACACACACACACAGACACACACACACATCTATAGCTGTAAGAATGGCCATCAAAACAGTACTGCCTGAAGCACAGGATTACCCCTTATTCTGAGTGTTTTTAAAAATTTAATACTTTCTATACTGATTAGACTTTTTTTTTCTGGTACCAGTGATCAAACTCAGGACCTTGCACTTGGGAGGCAGGCGTAGTGCCACTGAGCTAAATCCCTGGCCCAGATTTTTTTAAATAAGGGAAAGAAAAAACAATGAAAAGAAAGTCTCAGATACAAACTAACTATCTCCACACCCCAGCCCACTTGGAAAAAAGAACTTGACCCAAGCTCCAAGCACAGTAATGGTCATGGTTTCAAAATTGCAGGTCCGGTTCTGAACATAATGGTTGGTAGGACGGTTTTGTGCCTCTCCTAATAGATGGGAATGTACCACAATCTCTCAGCTCATTTAGGCTGCAAACTCACCGACATGCACATCACCATGGAAATGCAATCCGCACGTGTTTGCAACCTTGGGTTGTAATTCCCCAAGGATGTGGCAAACTCAAAAGGCTGAGGGAAGAGGAGATCTCATACTGACAAGAAAGGTGGCCCTGGGGTCTTCAAAGGCAGCTCACACAGGGCCTGCCAAGCAGCCTTGTAGTGGGCACACTTCACACACTTCAGGGCTGGGTGAGAAATGCTTGATTGCTTATAAAAGGTTCCCGAGCCCTGCTCTTTAAAGAGGGGAAAACGGGGACAAGCAAGGCAGGAAGGCTAGAGTCCAGGCCGGGTCATGCTCGCTGCCTCTGTCTTGCATCCGACTCTGCTGCTCTGCTGGCTGACCGCTCCCCAGCTCGCAAATCCTGAGGCTCTCTTCCATAGCCGGGACCGCTCGGACCTGGAGCTGTCTCCACTGCATCAGGCCAGGCCCATCGCTGACCTCCAGGCTGCTCAGGTAGAGCCCAAGTGCACCATCACCCCCATACACACACACGCTGACCTCCAGGCTGCTCAGGTAGAGCCCAAGT